CCAGTGGCCTTTCCTCAGAGCTAAACCTTCTTGACCTCTCTGTACATCTACTGAACATCCTCTCATCCTAGACACTCTGTTTTCCCTGAGTTTCTGTGATTTTTTTTTCTTTATCCTCCTCCCACCTGTCTGCTCTTTTCTCAGTGTTCTTTGCTGAAACATAATCCGTACTCTATTCCCTGCCACTGGAAAACCCTCTAAAGCTCTGTGCTAGGATTTGACTTCTCTTGTCTGATCTTCTCTTCTTTTCTTTTTTTTCTAACCTGTCTCTCAGAACCCACCCAGGAACACAGGGTAGAAAAGATCCATCACTTCCATCCTTCCCTTCCCCTGTTGGCCCTCCCCCAAACTCTCTCCATCTCAGAATCCATCCAGGCAGAGGGAGGACCTGTCACTACCATGTGACACTTTTCCCTTGCTCATCTTGCTTGAGAGCTAAGTCAACAACTCTATTCCTTTTGGTGATATGGGGGATCACTGGGCCTTGCCATCTTGTTGTCCTTCAGGCCTTACCATCCACTCTTCCTCTTAGCACGTCATTTTACCTATTTATATAATCTAAAGACCACTGGACTTTGCTGTTCCCTTAGGGCTTCTGATTCTTTTCTTCTGATAGCTGAACTTTTACGTGTCATCTCTTACAATTAGAGTGCAAGCTCCTTGAAAGCAGATACTACCTCAGTTTTTCTATTTGCATCCCTGGGGCTCCGTGCAATGCTTAGCATATAGTAAAAATCAAGTCCTTGCCTTCAGGGTACTCATATTGCAATGGGGGCGACAACATGCCAATGTATAAATGTACAAACAAGATATATACAGGATAAATTGGAGCTAATCTCAGAAGGAAAACACTATGATTAAGGAGACCTGGGAAAGGTTTCTTGTAGAAAGTGGTATTTTAATGGAGACTTGAAGGAACCCAAGAGGCAGAAAAAAAGAAGAGAGAATATTGCACAGGGGGACAGCCAGTGAAAATACATAGAGATGGGAGATGGTATGCTATGTGCTAGGAACAGCAAGGACAACAATGTCATTGGATTGCAAAGTATGTGTATGGAGGCAGGAAATAAGTTGTAAGAAGACTGAAAAGGTAGGAGGGGGCCAGGTAATAAAAGCCAGAGTATCTTGTGTTTGATCTTAGAGGCAATAGCGAGAACTATTTAAAGTTGAAAGAACTTAAGTTGAAGAACTTAATAATTTCTTTCTCTTTCTTTCTTTCTTTTTCTTTCTTTCTTTCTTTCTTTTCTTTCTTTCTTTCTCTTTCTTTCTTTCTGTTCAAAGATATATTTATAAGTAATTAATTTTTGATGAAACTTGGAAGACTCCAAGAAGGTATTAAGATATCATCAAGATTCAATTTGTGGCATATTTTCTGTAAATTCGAGCAGATTTTAATTTGGGGTAGAGACTAGGTTATAAAAATAATTAATTGCCCTTTGTGAGTTTGACATTTCACAAAATTACAGGTAATACTGGCTTTCCCTACTTTATTGGGGATGTGAAAACAATGAGCCTGATTTCCCCACCAGTTCTAAGCAATGGTTCACACAGTCACAAAGGTTGAATCAACAAGCTTTTATGGTAGTGAGGATAGCAAGAATGTTTCTTCTCTATGCACAGACACTTGGAGCAAGGTGATCATTCCCAAGAACAAAGTACCAAAGGCCTCCTGGCATTTAGAGCCTGACAGCTAACAATCACTAACTTTCCGGATTTTTGGAGAGGAGGCAGTTTTATTGTTTCCCAACCCAACCCAACCCAAGGTATATTGCTATCCTGTAGAATGCTAAAATAGCTAAATTCTTTACTTATGACTTCTCCATTTAGCGTGAGTGGTTCTCACTGACTAGAAGGAAGGTGGGGGGAGAAAATCACAGTTAGGGGAAGGGGTTCTTAGCCTTTTTTTGTGTGTAATCAACCCTTTTGGTAGTCTGCTGAGACTTTTGGACCCCTTCTCAGAATGTTTTAAAATAAAATACAAAGCATTACAAAGGAAGCCAATTATAATGAAATTTGGTTATTAATATACTTGCATGTGTTCTTATATACATATAAAAGCACATATAGATTATCTACATAATACACACATATATGTATACACACAAATGAATGTGTGTATATATATCAAGTTCATCAACTCCAGTTTAAGAACCCTTGGGTGGGGAAGAAGAATGAAGCCAAAGCTGGCAGGAACAGGATACAGGGGTGAATGAGCAAAAGAAAGAGGTTTTTAAAGTTTATCAATTTTATGGAGCAAAAGCCTTTGGTTGTAAAAATTTTATTTACTAGGTAAAAATATTTTGCGGGTTTGTCTGGTCCACAGTTGAGAAACAGTATCTAATTCTAAGGTATCATTAATCCTTGCTTGAAGACACTCCCATGCTCTCCATCTCTGTTCCACCTCACTTAACCCTTAACTATATACTGCCCATTAATTTGTTAATTGCTTCTTGTGTTGGACTTGTCTCCCATAACTTGACTGCAGGTTATTTAGGAGCTGAGACCAGGAGCTTTTTTTGGTGGGTCTAGTCTGGCAGATGTGACATCTTTAGAGCAAGAGGTGGACTGGAACATCAGGGCCAGAAAAACCCTAGAAGGTTCCAAAGCCCCAGGCAGCCCAGAGGTGGCTGTTGTGGGTGGCAGTTGGCAGCCTAGGGTGTCTCCTCCATTCTGCGATGAGAAGAGCCCCTTGCAAGAGGGCCCTCTGGAGGTACTGAAAATTCATTTTTGTTTGGGTGGTCCAAGAATAGAGAGTTGCTAAATTGGCATGCCTAAATTCTAGGTGGTAGGGGTTTTCTTTTCTTGTTTCTCCGTTAAAGTTGAGGTGAGAGTATGGGCAGTGTAGGGAGAACATTTTGAAATTGTGCCTTACATTGTGGTATCAAACTCAAATAAAAAAACGATCCTGGGGGTCGCATATTGATTTACAAAATCACAAACTAACGTTATCTATGCTGCATTTTTATTTATTTTGTTAAACATTTCCTAATTACATTTTAATCTGGTTTGCTCTCAACAATGGAGAGTTTTGCTGGACACATGTGGCCAACGTGTCTGACACTTCTGCCTTGCGTGATTCAGAGCGAAGATGCATAGGAAAAGAACAGGGAAGTAGACTTTCGTTGATGAAAATGTTTGCCTGGCGATTTGCCAGGAAAAGCTGTAAAATGGGAAGTTTGTCTCGAACTCCCTACTTAGTAGTCTGGGTCTTTCCATCTCAAGGGATAAAGGAATTCGCACTAAGGTGTTACCCCTTAAAGCTAGCTACTAATCATTTGATCTAGATTGAATTCGGAAAGTGCTTTCTAACTAAAGAGTTCTTATTAGGATTAGTGCTTTAAAATAATAAGCATGGAGGGATTTAACTCAAAGTAGAAATCACTAATAGTGAACTATCAGACTCTATAGCACCTTAGTAAAAGATCTGGGGACCTGAGTATGCCTAAAACATAAGGTTTGCAAAAAACTCTACCTAGGCAATTGCCTAATTTGCTCAGACCAGATGCTGCCAATGGTGGACTTTCCTTTTTCAGGTTAATAAGCATGTAGAAATGCAGGCTCCTAGAAGGCAGAGAATGTTTCCTTTGTATTTGCATCCTCAGGGGGCCCTGTACCTAGCAGTTGTTTTAATTAGTGTTTCTCCGATTGAAATTGGGCATTTGGTTCTCTTTAGGAACCTCCCCACTACTTCTGAACTCAGTAGGAGGCTGGTTTCCATTATTTTGTGATAAAGATGGATCCATTAATAGAATGAGTTACCAGCATTATCTAAAACAGAAAGAACAAGAGTGTAAATAACTCCTGAAACTATGGTACAATTTTTCTGACTGTGGAAGGAGAGGTTTAAGTGTCTAGGAAATCTCTCCATTAGAATCAGGGTTGAGTGGAGTTCCTTAGCAAGGTCCTGAGTTGGGGACAATAGGTAAAATGGGACACATATCACAATATTCCTCCTAACCCAAATCTGAAGCTTTAAAGTCCATTTCTTGTTTAACTCCCAGGCAGCTTTCGGCATGAGATCAAAGAATAACAAGGGACCGAGAGATGCTTTTACAATTTCTTTCCGCAGGAGGGCTCTCCGCGAAGTTCCCAGGGCATTGAACACGCAAGCGCAAAACATTCGCTCGCCTTCCTCCGCTTTTGTAGGGAGGACTCGTCCCTCAAAAGACTACAAGTCCCAGCATTCACCTGCGAGAGGAAGATCAACAAGGACCAGAAGTCGGTCAGCCCAGATTCCGGACATCACTGGGGACAGTTGCATGCTGGGATTCGTAGTCCTCATGCGGGCGGACATTCTGCGAGTAACCACGAGGGCTTCAGTACAACTGCTTCCGCTGTTTCGTGCGCGGTGAGGGTTATTCCTCGGACGTTTCCGCTACCAGTTGGTCACGCGGCCGTCCCCTCCCCAGGCTCCCAGTACTCCGTGGCCCTCCCTCCCGCGTACGTGCGCGTATGAGTGTTTACACGCAGGCCGCCCGCCCACAGACACACACGCGGTCTGGGTGAAGCACGTGAGAAGCCGCCCCTTTGGCCACGCCCTCTCCCCTCCGTGAGGTCATCACGTTCTCCAGGAAGTCGTCATGGACTGGGGGAACTGGCGCGAGATGACTCGCCCAGCACAGGGCGGGAAGAGCTGAACTAACCACTTACGCCCCTGCCCCACACCCGGGACGCTGGGATTTCCGCGTTACTGTGGCTTTAAATGGAAGCCGGGCCCTAAATACGCAAGCGTTTACGACTCTGCCTTCCCTCTCCGTGTTCCATCCTCCCTCCCCATTCCTGACCCCCTCCTAAAGGAACAGTTACTACTTTTTCTCACACCTTCTTTCTAACCTCTCCTTCCACTCCGCCTCCCTTCCCTTGAAGTCGCTATTTCCCTCTCCCCCTTTGGGGGAGGGCTAACCTTCCTCTGTTCGCTTCCTGGTCTCGAGCCCGCGGCGAGCGCGTTGCCATAGCGACCCGCCCCGCGCGCCGTGCTGACCCCCAGCCCCCTGGAACTAGAGGCGGCGGCGCCGGAGCAGGGGAGCGGGCCCGGTGGACGCGCGGCCGGGAGGGTGATGGAGGCGCAGGCAGACCCCAGCAGCGGCGTCGGCGGCGTCGGGGACTCTGCAGCTGCCACCACCGCCAAGGGGCCAGCCCCGGCCGACTCTGCTGAGGGCCCAGCGGGGCTGGCGGCGGCCGTGACCGAGATCCGCTGCCCGGGCCCCAGGCCGCTGAGGCTGCTGGAGTGGAAGGTGGCGGCCGGCACGGCGGTGCAGATCGGCACGGTGCTGGCTGTGTGTCTCCTATCGTGCCTCCCGCCGGCGGGGAAGCGGGCGCGCTGCCGGCTTGCAATGCGCGCCGGAGAGCCGGGGAAGGAGAGGGAGAAGGGGGCGGCGGCGGCGGCGATGGGAGCCCCCACCTGTGCGGGAACCAGCGCGGGGAGCCCTCGCCCTGCCCGGAGGCCGGCGGCTGCGGGCGGACCCAGCGGTTGGCGGAGCGCAGAGTGAAGTCGGAGAGGGCCGGAGTGGTGCTGGAGCTGTGTGCGCAGCTGGGACAGGTGGTCCCCCCAGGGTAAGCGGTTTGCTGGGGGTACCCGGGGGGTACTCGCGCTCCCGTGGTCCCCCCCCTTCCCCGACCTTCCACCCCGTGATAGGTGCCGGCCCAGGGAGGCTCTCCTCCTCATCCGACAGCCGCAGGCGTCTTTGGGCACCCACTTGTTTCTGTTTCACGACCCCGTGAGACTGGCCCGGGCCGACCTGGAGAGGAGGATGAGGAGGAAGGAGACAGAGGGAACTAACGACTGTGCCCGAGCCCAAGTGTTTTCGTTCTTTTTCCTGGAGGGCGGAGGCGGAGAAACTCTTCAAAACCGAGAACTTCCATGGTCTCTAACTTTATGGTCCCGGGACCCTCCTGCACGCCCTCTGGCCTTCTGCTCCTCTTCCTCCCAATCCCACCCCCAGGCATCCGGGAGGACCACCGAGCTGGGGGGCTTCTGCGTCTGGTGCATTGTAGTTAAACCCTCTTACCGACCCGAGAATGTGCGAGGAGGTGGCAGGTGCTGTTCTGAGAGCTGTCTTGCATCCTAGCTTTTCTATTCCTCCCTCTTTCCCCGCCCCACCCGCTGCTCTGCAGGTGGGCTTAAAGGGGAAAATAACGTGATTAAAATAAGGCTCTTTTACTCTCAGGAATAGTTAGAGGATCCTTTTTTTGTTGTGAGGTCTCTGAGGCTCACTTCTGACAGAGATGCCTTAATCTATCAAATATTGACGTTTCTTTAGGGAAAGAAAAACTCATTCGCCTTGAAATCTGGCTTTTTTATTTTTTATATTTTTGCTATTCTCACCTTACTCTCTGTAACTTTGGACTTATCTCCTTTAAATCGCTGCTTACTAACTGGACACACAAAAGCTTTTTTTAAAAATTAAATCTGATTTTTTCTTCTTGAACAAATCTTTTTTCTTCTGTAGCCAGAAAGCTGTGGTTGTTATTTTCGTATTACAAAAAATTTGGGGGGATTGGGGGATCTAAGAAAACCAAGCATATTTATCCCACTTCTTTTTAAAAAAATTTGACTTTAAGATTTAAACAGAAAATTGTGATACTGAAATATATACATATATAGATCTATGTTTAAATATATAGACATCTATGTATATGTGTGTATATACACATACTATATATGTATACATGCTTATATCTGAACCATAACTGGGTATTGTTTTGATACACTAATTTGTTCAAATTGAGCTGGTATTTAGTATTGTCTCTCCCTCTTTCTTTTCTGAGCTCTAATCTTGTGAAACTAAGTTATAAAAATGTGATACAATTGTGCATCATAGCCAAGAAGAATGTATGAGACTGATCTCTGTGGAGTATAAAATTATATCAAGCTTTTGAATCTGGCCAGACTTCTATCCTGTCCCAGTACTTGTTTGTTTCAAACTCTGTGATCATATACTTGACCATATACCCATATACTGAGTCATAAGATAATTAAAGGTGAAAAAATAATCATTTTACTTGAGTGGTAGAATCCACTGCTGAAACGTCTACTTTTTTTTTTCTCCAACATATTTTAGATTCCTTTCATCAAGATCTTGAACTTGTGGTATTCTTTACTGTACAGTGGCTCTAAGGAAAATTGGCCTGTAATTAATTTCTTTTCCCATGGGTTTAAAGTAATGCTATTTGTTTTGTGGTGATGGTGGAGAGTGGTCAGCTTTTTGTATAGTATACTTTTTTGCAGTTGGTTGAAATATCATAAATTAACTTTTTTGTAAGACCTTAGGGGAAGCACGATGTGAAGGGTAGAAATCTATCTTGAGTGTCATTCAGAACTATATTCAAATTCCACCTCTGACACATGCTGGCAGTGTCCCCCTGGGCAAGCCAGTTAACCTCAATCTGCTAGGCAACCCTCTAAGACTAGGAGTTACAGAATAGTAGCTGATTTGTTTTGGTAGAGAGATTTCCTTCACTTTCAGTTCCCTACACCAATGAAATTACAACCCACAAAGATAACTTGGGTTTAGCCTAAAGGTAAAAACGAATCAATTTAGTTGCTTACAATAGCATTTGTTGTTATTATTCCATATATATATATATATATATATATATATATATATATATATATGTGATAATATGGCATCATAAATCTAGAACTGGAAGGGAGCTCAGAGTCCAGCCCCTTCTTTTTACAGATGAGGAAACTTTTGACCCAAGGAAGTTAAGTAACTTGCCCAAGATCATACAGCTAAGGACAGGTAAGAGAAGAGATTTGAACATCAGATTCAGTGCTTTTTACATTGTCTGTGTTGACATTACTTTTTTTTCCCGCCATTGGAATTAAATTTAACAGGAATGTCAATCTTTTGGTATATTTTTGCTTTCAGTTCAAGATATGAGTATTAGATAATATTTTAGATAACCTTTGTGAAGTTCAGACTAATGGAGGATAGAACATTAGCAAATAAATACAATATGTAGTGAGCATTTGCCATTCAAGAATTGCAAAGCAATGTGAAGGTCCAAAGTTGTTTACATTTTAGTTGGGCTAAATAGGTAAAGAGGTGAAAGGGAGGTCTTTTCAGGCATAGGGAACACTAAAAGCAAAGGTACAGCATATATTTGGAGGACAGAGAATAGTCTGTTTTGACTTAATCATAAAGTATTTGGAGGGAAGTAATATGAAATAAGACTGGGCAAATTGGTTCCACTTGTGGAGACAGGACAAGTCAGCAAACATTTATTAAGCTCTTACTATGTGCCAGGAGTTGAGCTTACAGTCTGATGCAGAAGACAACATGCAAACAGCTATTTACAAACAAGATATAAACAGAATTAATTGGAGATAAGCCCAGAGGGAAGTCACTAACATTAAGGAAGACAGGGAAAGGCTTCTTGCAGATGGTGGGATTTTAGATGAGACTTGAAGAAAGCCAGGGAATCCTGGAGAGGGAGCATTCCAGGCATGAGATGCCCAGGAATGTGTGAAAATACATGAAGTCTGGAGATGAAGTGTTATATGTGATCCATAGCAAGGAGGCTAGAGCCAGAGTAACTAGATCACAGAGCAAACTGGGAGAGTAAGGTGTAAGAAAGCTAGAAACGTTTTTGAAGGTCAGAGTATTTTATGTTCATGACCCTGAAGGCAACAGGAAACCAATGAAGTTTATTGAATAAGGGAAATGACATGGTCAGACTTATGCTTTATGAAGGCCACTTTGGCAGCTTAATGGAGGATGGCCTGGAGGTCCTTTGATGTCAGAGGAGTTTGAAATTTGCTTAGTAGTTAATAGGGAGAGGGATCTCCGGAAGAATTGAGCACAAAATATTGACATGGCCAGATAGCCACATAAAGAAGATTAGTCTGTCAGCTGTTTGAATGATATTTTGGAAAAGAGAGAGGGTGGTAAGACCTATTTAGAGACTGTTGCAATAGTCCTGGCAAATGTTATTAGGGTTGTGGATATGGCATTAATAGGAGAAAGATGGATATGAGAGAGCTTGTAGAGATATAATTAACCAGACTTCACAGTGGGTTGGATATGTAAGGTAGAGAGGAAAGAATCAGAGTTTTGAAAAGCTGATTGTTAGAACATTGATGACCTATGACTGGTAGTATTAATAGAAGTAGGAAAGTCAGAAGGAAAAGCAAATTTTGGAGAAAAGATAAGAAGAATAGTGTTGGTTATTTTGAGTTGGAGGTGGCTATCGTGTTGGAGGTATAGCATAGGCTTGAATATTCAGGTCCAGAGCTCAGAAGAGAGGGCTAGATTGGAGAGATAATAGATGTGGGAATCTTCTGCATTGGAGGAATCCCTTAAAACCCTTAGAGAGTGAATGAGATTGTCCAGGGAGAAAGAGTGCAGAAGAAAGAGAAGATCATTTGGGGCAACAGTAGTAAGCAACACCCTTCCTCAGCCTCTCTACTAGTGCAGTGCTTTGCACGTAGATACATGGTGGATAAAATTGGATGAGGAGCCAGTGAAGACAACAATTGTAGTTATTGAATTGGGAGGAAAACTAGGAAAGTATATATTCTCCGAAGCCAAGAAAATCCTGTTCAGTGCTGGGATATGGCAGAACAGTGTCAAATCCCGGTGGAAAATGAAAAAGAACCATAAGAAAGGCTGTTGAATCGGCAGTTAGATGGTCATTGGCATTTTGAGAGCAGTTTCAGTAGAATGGTAGGAGTTAAAGGTGCAGTGGGTTGTAAGGAAATGGAGGCATTGGATATGGATGACTTTTTCAAGAAGTTGTTTGTGGAGGAGAGAGATGGAATGGTATCTGGAATGGTCAAAGGAAGAATTGGTTTTTAGGATTTGACACAGTAATTTGATATAAGCTATGATAATGTCTTCCTTGGGCAACTTTTCTTACTCCTGATCTTTATTACATGACATGTTTTTTGTGTGTTTTGAGTCCCCTTTTTGCCACTAATTCTCCATGTGTCATGACCTTGGGAGATATCTTTGGATGAGTCCTATCTTCATCTATAAAAGGAAGGAGGTTGATCTCCAAGGATGCCTCTCTTAGCTTTAAGATTCCATTATCTACAAAATGTGCGTGCGTGTCTATCTTTATATACTCAATTCTCTCAATCAGCAAGCATTATTAAGTACCTACTCTATGCTTGGCCTAAGGGAATAGGGACAAAATGACAATACTTAAGGAAATTTATATTGTCTTGGGGAAGATAATATACATGTATAAGAATATACAGAATATGTTAAAGGTAATTTGAGGGAGGAGGAAAGGGAGGTACTAGTCACTGGGGGATCAGAAAAAGCTTCATGTAAAAGGTGGCACTTAATCATAGTTTTGAAGGAAACAATGAATTATAAGAGACCGAAGTGAGGACAGAATGTATTCTAGGCATGGGCTTTCCTGCTTTGTTCATTAGGCTCCATAGTGTTTGTGAGAACTCATCTTTGGTGAGGCTTAGCTAGGGAAAGACCATTTAGCAAAGTCATTAGTTAGGGCCCTGTTTGCATTTCTTCTGGCAGCTCTAATTATATTTGTTTGAACTGAAGTTTAATGCTTCATTATAGTCATTAGTGTGTGCCAAG